ATCCAGATCAGTTCGGTCAGGACTCGGATGCAAAGGAGGACTGGATCCACAACGCTATAGAGCACACTCGTGACATGGCACATCGCAGTTCGGCGCGGCGCAGCACAGCACTGCCTTCGGCACGGTACATCAATATCGATACACTCAGCATTGCAATTTGGCACGTTCGTTGGCACGTTCCGTGGCGCGTCCCGTGGCGAGTCTCCCTGGCACGTCGCGCGGCGCGTCCCCTGGCACGTCCCGTGGTACGTCCATTGGCACGTTCCGTAGCGCGTGTCTTCGGCGCGTCCCGCGGTTGCGTTCCCGTAGCAAGTCCCTTGGCACGTCGCTTGGCGCGTCCCTTGGGACGTTCCGCGGCGCGTCCTCCTGGCATGTTCCCCTGTCAATTAGCTCTGGGGCAGCAGCTATGTGCTAGGGCAGCTCGAGTTTAAGATCCAGATCAGTTCGGTCAGGACTCTGATGCAAAGGATGACTCGATCCACAACACTATAGAGCACAATCGTGGCATGGCACATCGCAGTTCAGCACGGCTCAGCACAGCACAGCCCTCGGCACAGTACATCAAGATCGATACACTCAGCATTGCAACCTGGCACGTTCCGTGGCGCGTCCTGTGGCGAGTCCCTTTGGCACGTCGCGCGGCGCGTCCCCTGGCACGTCCCGCGGCACGTCCATTGGCACGTTCCATAGCGCGTCCCTTTGGCATGCCCCGCGGTGCGTCCCCATGGCACGTCCCCTGGCACGTCGCCTGGTGCGTTCCTTGGGACGTTCCGCGGCGCGTGCTCTTGGCATGTCCCCCTGTGAATTAGCTCTGGGGAAGCTACTATGTGCTAGGGCAGCTCGAGCTTAAGATCCAGATCAGTTCGGTCAGGACTCGGATGCAAAGGAGGACTGGATCCACAACGCTATAGAGCACAATCGTGGCATGGCACATCGCAATTCAGCACGGTGCAGCACAGCACAGCACAGCACAGCCCTCGGCACGGTACATCAAAATCGATACATTCAGCATAGCATTTGCCCATCGCCCAATCAGGGGTCTTTGAAGCGTTGCCATGCCTTAGATTTCTATATTCCTTTCCGGGTTCGTGGGTCGATCATGCTGAAACGTTGCCAGGTCTTACATTTCTATATTTCTTTCCGGGTTCGTGGGGCGATCATGTTAGTATTGTTCCCCCCCGGTTTCGACGGGAAGCGGGCCGGCGAAATTATTTGCGATACCTAACGTGGTAAAGTCCCATTCGGCGTGGGACAAATTTGTGTCGCGCGTGCCCGCTCGAGGAAAATGCTCCCCCCATGTCGGATCCTCGTTGCCTAATGGGGTCCGCAGACCCCCGCTTTCCTGAGTAAAAAAGAGGGTGCGGAGCGTTTCGCGCAGAATTCCTACTCAATGACGAGGTATGGAGACCCTGAAATCTTCGACGGGCCGTTTGGAAAGGATCGAAAAGTTGATTTTTGGCAGCCCGCTCGAGGATGGCGCGTCCCGCGCGCAGGAATTTCGAGGATGTCTCGAGCCCCGCGTTTGTTTTGCAGAAGGAAGGTTGGCTTTTCCCAGAAAGGGCTCCAGTCCAGGGTTCTCTTTTAGTTTTGTTCCCCTCGCGGTTTCGACGTGAGGTGGACCGGCGCATCTATTCTGCGAGAAATAACGAGGTCGCGTAGGGCCGGCGGAATTGAATGTTGAGGATGTCCCTGGCCAAACGACTGTTTACATAAGGTTGTTGGGGATGTTTCAGGCGAAACGCTGGTTTTGCAGAGTTGGGGGATGTCTCGAGCGGGGGCCTCGTGTGGGGCGAGAATTCAGAGGATGTCTCGGGCGAAATGCTTGTGTTCACGAGCCCAGGTCGGCCAGGGGGGTATCTAACATGGTTGTCCCCCGCTGGCGCCCCAGACGACCGCATGTTAGATATCTCCCCTGGGTGGGCTGTAACCATGTGTTTTCATGTGTCCAGGCCACCCAGGGGGGTATTTTACATGGTTGTCTGCAGCAAGGATCCCGTGTTTTAACGTGCCCAGGCCACCCAGGGGTGTATCTAACATGGACTAAACTCGACCTGACATATGGGGAACGCGAGTGGGGAGGTTGTGGGGTTGGACACAAATCATGCCGAGATGTGCCAGCGGGGTGTGTGTGCCTCGTCTGAACTCGCGCGGAAAGCAAAGTCGATTTGGCGAACGCCAGTGGGAAGGTTAGGGGTCTGGAGACGGAACATGCAGAGATGCTCTCGTCTGAAGTCGCGCGGAAAGTAAACTCGATCTGACATAGGGGAACGCGAATGGTGAGATAGGGGTCTGGAGACGGACAATGCCGAGATGCGATAGCATTTTATCGTGATGAGGTTGCACGTTCTTGGAAAGCTCGCCGCTTTCACGCGCTTCCCGTTCATTACAAAGTGGCGTGGGGTGGTCAGCATGCTGTATGGAGTGTGCGCCGCCTGCTCCAGCCGCACCAGGTTGGCCAGGGGCGCGACGTGCACAGAATGCGCCAGTGCACGCTGCAGCACACATCGGCCAACATGTCGAGCCCCTGGCCATGCGTGCCAAAATCTAGTGCCAGGTGGCAGCGGGCGGGGTGGTCGGCAAGTTGTGGTGGGTGCGCCTGTAATGAGTTTGAATTGATTTTCGACGAGGATCGTGGGCGAATTCACGGCGGACAGATATGCTCGCGCGCCCTCATGCCTGTTGCAATTCCAAGCAAGGTGCTCGCGGGGTCCACGTCGCGATCCGGATGTAGTCGACACGTGTACTCGTTTTTGTTCCCAACCATCCTGTGGTGTTGGGTCCTCGTTTTGAAAAGATGGTCCCCGCGTTCCTCTTCTCCTCTCCTCCTCCTCCCCCTCCTCTCCCTCCTCCCCTTCCTCCTTTTTGCATGTGTTTCACCCACCCAATACACGGCTTCGTGGCCTCATAGGGAGCTCCACCGAAACCCCCACTGGCACCGCCCGCATGCGTCCGCCACCTCCCAACATAGCCATTGCTTCTTGCGTTTCACCCACCCAGTGCAGCGTTTCGTTGCCCCATAGGGAGCTCCACCGAAGGTTCCAGTGGCACCGCCCGCATGGGTCCGCCACCACCCAACACGGCCCTTGCTCCCTGCGTTTCACCCACCCAGTACAGCGTTTCGTGGCCCCATAAGGGGGCTCCACTGAAGGTCCCAGTGGCGCCGCCCGCATGCGTCCGCCACCACGCAACACAGCCACTGCTCCTTGCGTTTCACCCACCCATTACAGCGTTTCGTGGCCCCATAAGGGGGCTCCACCGAAGGTCCCAGTGGCACCGCCCGCATGTGTCCGCCACCACCCAGCACAGCCCTTGCTCCCTGCGTTTCACCCACCCAGTACAGCGTTTCGTGGTCCCATAGGGAGTTCCACCGAAGGTGACAGTGGCACCGCCCGCATGCGTCCGCCACCACCCAGTACAGCGATTGATTCCTTCGTTTCACCCACCAAGTACAGCGTTTCGTGGCCCCATAAAGGGGGCTCCACCGAAGGTCCCAATGGCACCGCCCGCATGCGTCCGCCGCCGCCCAACACGGCCCTTGCTCTTTGCGTTTCACCCACCCAGTACAAGGGTTTCGTGGCCCCATAAAGGGGGCTCCACCGAAGGCCCCAGTCGCACCGCCCGCATGCGTCCGCCACCACCCACCGCAGCCCCTGCTCCCTTCGTTTCACCCACGCGGTACAGCGTTTCGCGGCCCCATTGGGAGCTTCACCGAAGGTCCCAGTGGCACCTCCCGCATGCGTCCGCCACCACCCAGCTCAGCCATTGCTCCCTGCGTTTCACCCACCCAGTACAGCGTTTCATGGCCCCATAGGGGGCTCCACCGAAGGTCCCAGTGGCACCGCCCGCATGCGTCCGCCACCACCACCCAACACGGCCCTTTCTCCTTGCGTTTCACCCACCCATTACAGCGTTTCGTGGCCCCATAGGGAGCTCCACGGAAGGTCCCAGTGGCACCGCCCGCATGCGTCCGCCACCACCACCCAGCATTTTCCTTGCTCCCTGCCTTTAACCCACGCAGTACAGCGTTTCGTGGCCCCATAGGGAGCTCCACCGAAGGTCCCACTGGCACCGCCGGCGTGCGTCCGCCACCACCCAACACGGCCCTTTTCTCTTTGCGTTTCACCCACCCATTACAGCGTTTCGTGGCCCCATAGGAAGCTCCATGGAAGGTCCCAGTGGCACCGCCCGCATGCGTCCGCCACCAGCCAAGACGGCCTCTGCTCCCTGCGTTTCACCCACCCATTACAGCGTTTCGTGGCCCATAAAGGGGGTTCCACGGAAGGTCCCACTGGCACCGCTCGCATACGTCCGCCACCACCACCCAGCATAGCCCTTGTCCCCTGCGTTTCACCCACCCGGTACAGCGTTTCGCGGCCCCATAGGGAGCTCCACGGGAAGTCCCAGTGGCACCGCCCGCATGCGTCCGCCACCACCCAGCACAGCCATTGCTCCCTGCGTTTCACCCACCCAGTACAGCGTTTCGTGGCCCCATAGGGAGCTCCACCGAAGGTCCCAGTGGCACCGCCCGCATGCGTCCGCCACCACCCAACACGGCCCTTGCTCCCTGCGTTTCACCCACACAGTACAGCGTTTCGTGGCCCCATAAAAGGGGGCTCCACGGAAGGTCCCAGTGGCACCGCCCGCATGCGTCCGCCACCACCACCCAGCATTTTCCTTCCTCCCTGCGTTTCACCCACGCAGTACAGTGTTTCGTGGCCCTATAGGGAGCTCCACGGAAGGTCCCAGTGGCACCGCCCGCATGCGTCCGCCTCCACCCAACACGGCCGTTTCTCCTTGCGTTTCACCCACCCAGTACAGCGTTTCGCGGCCCCATAGGGAGCTCCACGGAAGGGCCCAGTGGCACCGCCCACATGCGTCCGCCACCACCCAACACGGCCCTTGCTGCTTGCGTTTCACCCACCCAGTACAGCGCTTCGTCGCCCCATAGGGATCGCCACCGAAGAAGATATTCACAATTGCGGTACGCACAACTGCATATGGTTGGGTCTTTCGCCAGGCTATTTTTTTGGATGGATGGTGTGGGAGAGGGGGGCCTCATTGCTCTTGGCCTTCGGCCGGTCGAATGGGGGAGGGAGTGTTTCTGCTAAGGGGACAGTGAGAACGCCTTGAATCGTTGGGAAGCACACATGGTTGGAATAGGAAACGCCCTTAACAAATTACGCCCAGAGGTTGGTGGGATTAGCACAGACGTTGAGGATTCGTGGATGTTGCGCGTATATGCTCTTCCTTGTTGTAACGGGGGGCCAATGCCAGGGGCCCCCTGGCCAGATGACGCCCCCAGCCTTGTGGGTCACCTTGGGTGGTATTCAGACAAAAAGGGCGGGAAATCCCAAAACGCTTACTAACCATACGGCAATCGATGTTTTGTCTAGTCGGGGGGGTGCGTCCTCCTGGGGCCGTCCGGGGGATTTTGGGGAGCCTCTTTGGGCCGCATTTCACAAGGCGTCGACGCCAGCACCAACGCCAGCACCGACGACGTCATTGTCCTCCGCCACCGGCGATCCACACTTGCAGAACATGTTCGGTCAGCGGTTCGATTTGGTGAGGCCAGGCAAATCTGTCTTGGTCAGCGTTCCGCGCGGAACGCCCGTCGAGGATGCGTTGCTTGTTGTAGAGGCCGACGCGCGTCGATTGGGGACACGCTGCTCGGACATGTACTTCCAGGAGATCAACGCCACAGGGACGTGGGCGAACAAGGTGCGGCCTGGAGGCTTTCACTTCGACGCTCACGACGCGCGTGACGAGACGCCGAAGTGGCTGAAACTCGGGCTTGTGGAGCTCAAAGTCGGCAACGGTCACACCGACAAGGGGCAGCCGTATTTGAACGTCTACGTCAAGAACCTTCAGCGCACTGGGTATCGTGTCGGAGGGCTGCTGGGAGAGGATGACCACACGGAGGCGGCGGCGCCTGAGGAAGGGTGCCAGAAGATGTTGTCCCTCGAGGCGCGGTTGTATGGTCAAGCTTCGGATCTAAAGGGCTCCGTCGCAATTGGCTACTGAGCCGAGGGCTCCCGGCTCCGCGCGGGGCGGTCGAGCCCGCCCGCCCGCCCGCAAGGGGTGAATTGATGTGTCCCGCCGACATTTACGTCGTGGTGCAATGGCCCACCAGTAGCCGCCATCTTTTGCCACTTTTGCATCTTTAGCACGTTTTGCAGAGAGCAGAGCAGAGCAGATCCCGCACGGCCGCAGGGCCTGTCCTGCACAGGACACGGGAGGAAAATGGTATGCCCACATTTCCTGACGGACGCAGCCACCCACACCCACACAACAACACGCACCACACCACAACACAGCACAATACGGCCAACAGCACAACACACACAGCACCAAACAACACACAACACCACACGACACCACAGCACACCCACCAACACGCGCGCGCGTGAATGCCATCACTCAGACGCCGTCCGTCCATCTGCACGCTGGACGGCCACGCTTCCTGTAAGCTACTTGCCCAGGCACAGTTGGCCAGAGTGACCAGTGATACACGCGAGAGACGATGCTTGCCGGTCGATTTGTGACCTTGTCAATCAGTCTTCGCCGTTGCTTGCCGCGCGCCTGGCTCCAGACCGCCACGCGAGTGCTGTCCCACGCAGAATCCAATCGTTCTTTCATGCGACGTCCTGTGACATTCCATTCCTCCTCGTCGTGTCTCACCCAGCCCACAATACGTCTCATCATCTTCCGCCGTGTTCCATCTAGTCTCTCCAACTGCGATACTGTAAGCGGAATTGTTGATAGGCTGTATAAGGCTGTTGGGCTGACGACAGCGTCGAACAATCGAAGCCGCAATTTGACCTGAATCTTGAGGTTGAGCAAGGTGTGGCGCAACTCATGGAAACGCATCCAAGCACACGACAGACGATGATCAATATTTCTCTGCCTCTCGAAGTCAGATCTCCCGGCAAAGACTTTCCAGGATACTTGTGGGAAGAACCTGCCTTGATGACTTCCACGAACATGCCCGCGATGTCCACGAGCAGGGGTGTTGGTCCAGAGGATACTGCGGCATCCGTCGTCAGAAGCTTCGTTTTGGATCCATTTGCCACAAGCCCAGCTTTGGCAAACTCCTCCACAAGCAGCGCAGTCATCTCCTCGACCTCGCACAAAGACTTCGCAAACAATATAAGATCGTCCGCGAAACGGACGTTCGTCAGCCGGTCAGCAGCGTCGCCGGAAAGTTCGAAGCCATGTTCAGCACGCAAGCGCATCTTTCACCGGCGCATGATTACTTCGGTTGCTGTGTTGAACAAAAGCGGGTTTAATATGTCCCCCTGTCTGACTCCGCGGCAGATCGCGGCGAACGTGGTGCCGTCGACAATGCTCACCTGGTCCGACTATATGAACTTCAGCAGGACTATGTACTTGTCTGGCAATCCGAGTTCTGTCAGCGAGCCCAGCAAAGCATTATGCTCGAGCGTGTCGAAAGCCTTGCGCAGGTCCACGCTTGGCACCCAAAGCGGAAGATGCCACTCCAAGGATGCCCCGGTCATGCGTTTTGGGGCCATCAATGCGTCGTCGATTCCGCAAGCTGTCCGGAAACCCATCTGTTCATCTGAGATGTGCGGGTCCAGATAAGGAAGGATGCGCTTGTCAACCATCTTGGCGAACACTTTATAAACGACATCGAGGATAGCTACCGGCCGCTAATTCTGCGCGTCCCTCAGGTCTCCAGTCTTCGGCAGCATCACGAAGATAAGCTCACTCCAGTCTCGAGGGAAGCGACCGCCCTGTAGCACGTCGTCGTATTTTCGTAACAAGATGTGCTTGATGGCGTTGCCACCTTGCGCCAGCATCTCCAGAACCACGCCGTGCTTGTCAGTGCACTTACCCTTGGAGAGAGCTTTCAATGCGTTGACTAGCTCGGTCCATTGTAAAAATATCTATCTCTCGCAACAGCATCGCGTTCCCCACGTCTGCCAGAGGCTGGCCTGAAACACGCAATTCCCCAAGCATTCTTGCAACATCTTCCGGCTTCGGCTTCACCGACGTCTTGCGTTGCCTGGGTTCGGTGGCTATTTTGTGTTGCTGGTGGAGGTCCGGGAACTTCGTAAGCTGCTCTTGCAGCCGCTGTGTCTGCCAGCGTCTCAAAGCTTGCCTCTTCTTCTTGGCTATTTCCTTGGACAAAGAGGTACGCCCCTCGCGGTCCATTACCGTCGTTTCCTCAAGTCTTTGAGCTCTGCTGTGTCCCATTGGCGGTCTTGAAGTTGGGCCCCGACTGCACGGGAAGCGCGTGCGGCTGTTCTCATGGTGTCTTGCAGTTCATGCCAAGATAAATCCCCAACTTCATCCAAGAGGGTTTCCAATTCTTCCTCGTAGGTCGGAGAACCCATCAATTTCGTCGACGATCTATTTTTCCGCCAGCTGGCGCTTGCAAGAGGCACAAGAGAGGCGGCGTAGACGGCGCGATGGTCAGATCCATACTCGAGCTCGTTTGTGGCTGCCGAACCAGACAAACTCAGCGAGGAGGAGCAAAATATGTAATCGATCTTACGCTCATGTCCCAAGGTGCTTTTGAATGTCCACTGAAGCTCCCAATCCATTCGTCCCCATTTGCTGCATGAAGGTCGTTTCCGATACGAAGGTGGACAGCAGGTTCCCACGAACGCCACAACGCAGCATAGCATTAAAATCACCGATCAGAAGCACGTGCCGCTTCTGCCGATTTGGTTCCGCCATGAGAGTTCGCAGTCCAGCATAGAAACTGTCCAAATCAGCCCTGGGGTACCCCGCGTGTGGAGCATAGACGCAGATCACCCGGAAGTATTGTCCATTGTAATCAATGTCTACCAACAGATGCCTGCCAGAAAACTTACGGATATGAGTGACTCTGTTAGTGAGGCGCGAATGTGGAAGGATAGATATACTTAGGTGTCTCATTTGATCACTTGCGATCGATATTAGACGGTGCCCTCCTGCCAAAATGTCATCGCCATCAGCAGCCCGTGTCTCACTGAAACCGACGATGTCCCAGAAGATACCGTTCAACTCGGCAAGCAAATTCAACAGTCTTGTCGGAGAATTGGTTTTTGCATGTGTGCAGAAAACCGTGGATTCTGTGCATGGCCGGTGGTGAAACGTGTAGCCGTGCGGGGTGACCCCTAGTGCCCCGGCTTCCCCTTGCCCACTCCCTTGCCGAAGCTCCGATTGAACTTGTCCTTAAACTCTCTCACCAAGTCCGTCCACCTCTGCCTCCTGGAACTGCTCTTCCCAGCCCGGCTCGAAGCAGAGGCGAATGTCGTCGTTCTCGGTGCTCACCTTCATCACGAGGTCGCCGGCTATCTTCAAGGTGTTCGTCTCGGGGTCCGCGCAGAGAGCAGACTTGTTATATCCCCATTTCACAAGGTATCGCTTCGCAGCGAAGATGATCGAGTTAGGGATGCGTACCTTCAGCGGCAAGTCTGGCTTGGCCCACATCGTCTCCCCTTGCCACTCCAGCTTTGCCCCCCGAACTTTGGACACAACAGTGTCACGTTCAGCGTTGGACGCAAACCTTGCGAACAATATGCCGGTGAAGTCGCCTTTGACAAACGTCTCGAGCGGCAGTGGCGCCTCGATGTACTTTAGCTGCCGCGTCACCCAACATTCTGCGTCATCTTGAGAGACTGCCAACTTCAAACCTCCGATAACTGCCACTGTGGCGTTTTCTTCAGATTTGGATCCAAGGTTTGCGAACTTCTCCTCAAGCTCGGCCATCTTCTTGTTTATCTCCGTCTCATATGAAGCACTCCTCTGCGAAGGGGTCAGTAAACCATCCTTGGTACCGGACTGCTCTAAAGCATCGATACGACCGGAAAGTTGTTGCATGTCGTGTTTAATCGGGTCCAGGGCCTCTTGCAACTCTGTTCTGGAAATCCCGTGCTCCTTGACAGTTTCGATGTCCATGTGGACGGGCTGCAAGTACTGCTTGAACATGCCCTCTATCGCGGTCATGCTGATCCCAGCTGCAGCTGCGCCTTTCCCTGGAACAGACGGAAGAGGAAGAGGTGAGGGCAAGTGCGCTTGACCTGAAGGTCCTGCTCTTGACGACCCGCCTGATGTGGGGTTTTGCAGAGAGCGGCGACGGAAATCGCCATAAAACAAACCAGTCGCACCCATTGTTTCTGTACTTCGGGCGTCCACATTCTTTGCTGGCGAAGGCCCTCCTGACGGCGCGCAAGTGGAAGAAGGGACATTCATTCGCCGCCTGTGTCCTTCTCGACAGGTAGTGCAGTTGGCGGTCGCGTGGCGGCCATGCCTGCTCGCAGTTCTGCTAGGGATATTGTGTCGGCAGCGTCGAGTTGCTGGGGCGAGTGTGTCGGCAGCGTCTAGATGGAGGACCCTCCCCTTCAAGGGGAACAAACAATGCCATAAACATAACAACTCTGAGGTCCGCGTTGATTCTTCAGGTCGGCGCTGGACACCCCTCCCACGCAAGGGGCGGCACTGGAGGCGCCGTCAGGGAGCCCCCGTGCCGATCCGAAGAATCCGCGCGGACATCTGAGTTTTTAGGTTTCTGTCGTTGTTTGTTCCCCTACCCCTCGAGGAGAGTGTTGTTTCTCCACCCACTAGAGTTTCTCGTTTCACTCACCCATCGTAACGTCCGTTCTGGGGGGATCGGTCCCCCGTGGAGTGGTCACGGTAACGTGGTCGGGCCCAACGGGTGTGACCCCAGGCGCCAGATGACGATGCCGTCGAGGACGACTACGACGACGACGACCGCGTCTGGAGGCATTTGGAGTCCCACAGCGGAGACGACGACGACGACGACGACGGCCTTCCCTGAAGGTCTGCAGAGGTCTCTGGAGGCCTCATGAGGTTCTCTGGAGGCCTCCAGAGGCGACTGAAGGCCCTCCGCGGCTCTCGGGAACGACGACGACGACGACGATGAGGACGATGTGGGCGATGAGGGCGACAAGGACGATGAGGACGATATGGAGACGACGACGGCGGCGGCGGCGGCGACGACGACGACGACGACGACCACCACGACCACGACGACGACGCGGACGCTGACGACGATGTCGACGACGCCGACGACGGCGACCACCGCCCGCTGGCGGCGTCTGGAGGACCTCCGATGCTGTCAGCAGCACGCCATGCTTGTGAAGACGACGCCATTCCTGTTGGGCCCCCCTCGCCCCGCATGCTCGTTGCTGGCCGGGGGGTGGAGACGCCCCCCGTAACGGACGTTATTGCAGTTGCGAGTACAGTCGTGTGAGTGTCGCTTTCGGTGGATCTCCTCATGCCGCCACGAAGCGTGTGAAGGGTGTGCCTAACTGGAGCGGGGCGGACATGCGGGCGCTGCCACTGGTGTTTTAGGTAGAGCCCTCGTATGGGGCGTATGGGGCCACGAAGCGTGCGAGGGGCGTGCCCAAATGGGACGGGACCGCCATGCGGGCGCTGTCACTGGGGCCTTCGGGCCTTCGGTGGAGCTTCCTATAAGACCACGACAAGTGGCATGCGGGCCCTGGCCTTTGCGCCGTCGGTGGAGCTCCCTATAGGGCCACGGAGCGTGTGCGGGGTGTTCCGAAATCGGGCGGGGCAGCTGCATGTTGACACCGCCATTGGGCCCTTTGGTGGAGTTCCCTGTGGGCCACGAAGCGTGTGGGGGGTCTGCCGAAATTGGGCGTGATGTCTACATGCGAACGCTCCCTCTGGGGCCTTCGGCGGAGCTCCCTGTGGGTTCGCGAAGCGTGTGAGGGGTGTGGCAAAGCGGGCGTGACGCTCACATGCGCAACGCTTCCCGTGTGGCCTTCGTTGGAGCTCCCGATGGGCCCACGAAACGTGTGATGGGGTGTGCCGAGAAGGGCGTAACGCCCACGTGCGAACGCTCCCCTTGGGGCCTTTGGTGAAGCTCCCCATGGGGCGACGAAGCGTGTGAGGGATGTCCCGAAATGGGCGTGGCGCCCACATGCGAGCGATCCCTCTCGGGCCTTGCGTGGGGCTCCGCATACGGCTACGGAGCGCGTCAGGTGTGTGCGTAAATGGCATGGGGCGTGACGCCCACATGCGAATATCCCTTCTGAGGCCTTCGTTGGAGCTTTCCATGGGGCCGCGAAACGCGTGAGAGGTGTGCCGAAATGGGGCGTCATGTCCACATTCCAACGCTCTCCCATGGAGCCTTCCGTGGAGCTGCCTGTGGGGCCACCACGCGCTTAATCATTAACATTCCACGCAACAGAAGCAATTCAACAACCCGACAATAACCCTCACCGTAGAACCCCACTTCAGCCACGCTCCCATACACAGTGAATGACCGTTCGGCCCCCCAACTCTGATAAACAGATAGACGTGTGCGTAACATCGGAGGTTGGCAGTTGAGATCGAAGTGGAACGGAGAGCCCCCCACTGGGAAATCTGTTTCGGTTTCGGGTACGAGGCGAAACTGCGTGGACTGTCGAGAGCAGTGACCTTGGCTTCGCTATGGTGGGGCAAGACAAAAGACCGACCCTCCGGTGGGCCAGCATGGCCGGTGGTGTTCCGCCGTGGTGTTCTGC